TACTAGTTATTGGCACCAATATAGAAGGATCCATAAAGGGAAATAATCAAATTCTATCCACTAGAGGAATTCATTCATTCATTAGATGTATCTCCCATTCCAGGCGCCTTTATAAGAATCCTTCTCATCTTTAGGGCAGCCATATTAAGAGGAGGCATTATTGCCATCTTAGATAAAAAAAAAATTCCTTCTTTACAGATAATAGTTATGGCTAACATATATTTAGCATGTACTATGAGCCACCACTCTCCAAGCTTTATATGTAGGAACACATTTACTGGCACAGAGAGGTTAAGTAATTCATCCAAAGTCCACACAGCAAGTTAAGTGGTCAAACTAGCATAAAACAATGAAGTTCAGAAAGGTTAAGCAACTTGCTCCAAGGCTCCAGCCCTGAGCCGCCAGACTAATGTAAGACCGGCTACCCATGCTACTTCCTCCACTGGCACCTGCCTGGTCCTGCTTACATTCACCAGGACCCGGTGCAAAATGCCCAAGGGCTGGCAGTAGAGAGCAACAGAGTCTAAAGCAACCACAAAAGTATAGGTCTTACTCTAAGGAGCCACTCTTCAATTGTCAAGAAGACAGAGAATTGGAAACCATAATAAAAATTCTCTAGATGATTGGTAAATATTGTCTCAATGTTGGTTTTTGTCTTTTGTTTTTGTACTGGGTATTGAACCAGGGGCGTTTTACTGCCGAGCTACATCTCAGTTCTTTTTATTTCGAGTCAGAGTCTAAGTTGCTGAGGCTGGCCTCAAACTTCCAATCCTCCTGCCTTAGCCTCCTAAATTGCTGGAATTACAGGCAGGTACCCCCGCACCTGGCTGACTCAATGTTTTCTTTAAAAGCATCCTGGGAGCTAAACAAATATGCCCACAGGCTGTTGACTTAAAACTGCTCTTTACGCAGTGGAGTCTTAAGTCAAAAAAATGATCACGTCCCAAAATGTCAGAAATCAGAGGTGCTAGTCCAGGCTTACTACAAGTCCTCTCTACTTTCAACAAAGATTTGCAATGGATTTGCTTTCAATTCAAACTTTTGCCTCTGCTAATTCCCTTCCAAGTCCCTCCTCACTCTGGGTTTGCAGCCGTGAAAATATCTATTCGAGTTACTGAAACTGCATATGAAATTTAGCATACTTGGATTCCTGCAAATGTCTTTTAATCCCACTTTTGAAAAGTTACCACACATGAATGCAGCAAAATAAAGCACTTCCCACATCCTCGCCTGCCAACTCTTCGACTAAATTCATTCTGCAAAAAAAAAAAAATGCTGCTGCAGCGCCGTCCACTACTTCTAAGGGGTCCAGCGCTGCGGTCCAGCTCTGAGAATTCCGCTCAGGACACCATGGCTCATTTGCCTCATTTCCTCCTGTCCTTCTTTAATCAGCTGGAGGAGACTGGAGGAAATGAGTCAAAATCCTAAGGGTAACTTCTACGGGCTGTCAACAACAGCAGCAAAATTCATCACCACAACAACATCTGTACATGGATGTGCTACAAGGGAAGCCCAGAAAATACCTGGCACATTCTTGGTGAGAACTTCTTCTGGGAGAAGAAAGGCAATGAGTGGTAAATTGTCATTTTATCTCCTCGTGCTCCTTGGGGGTAAACAACAGTGGTATCAGCCATTATTGGGGGCTTTCTCTTTCACAAGTATGCACCAGTAGAGAATGCTAAAGGCATTTTTATTTTGGGAGTTGGGGGGGTGGACTTCAACTGACTTAATCACTTGAGAGAGAGCCTATTTTCCATTCTGAGGGACCCTAACTGAAATGGAACAGTTAACACTGTTAACTCAAACCACAGGGTCAAACACCTCTCCTGCTGGGAGCTATAAATGAATCCTCCCAGAGTAAATATTTCCCTTAAAATGAGAACACTCTAACTCAAATGCTACACCACAGGTAATCCCAGGCTTTCTTCATCAGAACTGGTCATCCTGTCCTCCCAGAACCTCTAGCAACACCTGGTACATAGTAAGCACTCATTAAACATGTTGGCATGAATGTTAGTTTACAACAGATTCTGGCGAGCCATGTAAATGGATATGTAGTCAGGCATATGGAGCTGATCTCAGGCTCCTCCACTGATGGATTATTTTAGGCAAACTGACTTATCCTCAGTCAGTTTCTCCAGTTGTAAAATAGTAGGGGCAGAAATGGTACTACCTCCTGGGCTTGAGCGGACAGGAAACAGCAGGCTTTCTGCCAAACTGTCTGCACAGGGCATGGGGCACAGTTTCCAATCACAGAGCAACAACTAGGTACAATGCACTTGTAATGTGACATTTAAAGCACATCAGAAAGCATGTTGCAAAAGCACAGCATCAATGATTTATAAAGTTAAGGGGGAAAAGGGTGTGTGGATGGATGGGGAAAGACAAAAACCGGGAGAAGCAAATTGTCTGGGTCCCTTTACAAAATGATATTGTGGCTAGCAGGAAAATAATCCAGAATGCTTTATGCCCAGGTGTGAGGGTGACTCCAGCTCACACCTGCAGGAACAGGAGAGGTCTGATTCACTAGCGCCTGCAGGTTCATCCTGTTGGGCACTGAGAGCTGTAAACTCCATGGGGGGGGGGGGGGGCATTACAAGAACAATGCAGGAGAGCTTGTGGGATTTGAATGCAGGCAACATAAACCACAGTTCCCTGCTTAGCCAAGGGCAGAGCAGTAGGGTGCCTCAAAAGGGCCGAAAGGTCCCTGTGACCAGGAGAGGCAGGGAATTTCACAGAAGCAGGAAGTGATCAGGGAACCAGTTGAGAAAGAATGCCAAACCTACAATCCTAACAGAGAGGAGCATTCTGGACAGGAAAGAGCCTTCATGACAGGAAGCCTTGCAGGAGCACTCCAGAGGATACTGAACTCCCCAGAATGTATATGACCTGCCCAAGGGCACAGGAGCAGTGAATGGCAGAGAAAAGGAGACAAGAACTGGAGGGGCAGAGCAAGCTTGGGAGCTACACCATGCTGCTCCCCAGGAGACACACCTTAAAATTCCCTTTGCCAGCCAGCAGGGTGGCCCAAGCCTGTGATCCCAATGGCTCCGGAGGCTGAAGCAGGAGGATCCCGAGTTCAAAGCCAGCCTCAGCAACTTAACAAGGCCCTAAGAAACTTAGTGAGACCTTGTCTCAAAATCTAAATTTAAAAAAGAGCTGGAAATTTGGCTCAGTGGTTAAAAAAAAAAAAAAATCCCTTTGCTAAAAAGCTGTCAGAGTAGGCTACATGGAGCCCAAGGAAGAAAACCAAAGATTTATTTAGTGTCTTATTAGTATGATTTTTTTCTGGTGTCCACTATCACTAGGGTCTAGTTCACATACCTTTAATGAAATTATAAAGGACAAAGCAAAAAAAAAAAAAAAAATAGAACCTAGAGGCTCATTTTAAGGTAAGCAATCAAATCCACCAAATAATCCACACACTCACTGGTGACCCCTGGTGATCCCTCCTAAGGCTCAGGGGTCCAGGTGCAAGGCCTCTCTTCTCCCACAGGGAAGCCCTCTGCTCGCCCACGGAGAGCGGGGCGGGAAGCTGGGAGACTCAGGGAGAAACTGACCAGTTCTACTCGCGACAGCTCATTGCGATAGGGCTTGATTCCAGCGTAAACTCACTTCCTATCCTTTAACATCATCGGGGTGACATTAAACGTTTTTTTTAAATTTTATATTTGTTTTAAAATGACCTGGCAGATAACAGGGCTTCAGGGACTACTAGTCAAGCAACCCGCACACGCGCGTGCACCAGCGACACCTGGAGAAATGGGAAGGGAGGCAGGAATCTGAGAGGCTGCCGGAGCCTGCAGATCCTCCTCCACCTTCAGATCCAAGTTCCCGCGCGGATATAACTGGATTTTCCTAACAGCTTGAAGAACCAAGTGAAATATGCAGGAAGTTCCACTCCATCTCCCACCCCCCACCCCCCACCTCAGGCAGCCCTGGGTACAGCAATCACGTGGGAGGGGATGTCCTGAATCTCAGAACTGCTTAAGAAAACGGGCACCTGCTTTTACTGTGCGCGATCAACGGGACGAAGGGCTTCCAGAGCCTGATCAGGTCAGTAACGCGCTCTGGCTGGGCGCGCGAGAGACCTGGGGTCTGAGACTCCAGAGTCCCAGCGCGCTGTGTGCCTCCCCGGAGAAGCAGTCGCCCAGCTCTGCCTGCAGCCGCTCCTCGGCGCGTGGCAGAAACAAAACGACACCGCTGCAGAAAGGGACTAGCCTCCAGAACAGGGTTTATAAAGCAAAAAGTCTGCAACCTAGCGGCTGCTTGCCACACGCCCAGCCCAAGTTGTCCCATTCGCCGCCACCTCCAGGCTCGCGGGTCCCGCCCCAGAGCAGCGCGCCGCGCTTCCCTGGTAAATTTATAGCCGGGCGCCTGGGAAGCGCCGCTGCCTTCGACTCGTCTCCACGGTGGCGCCGCGCGTAGCAGGGGCAGCAGCGGGTCAGTCCCCTGCTCTGTGCACAAAGAACGCCCGCGGTTAGAAATCAGCATCTGCATAGCAAAGAAAGGGCTCTCCAACTTTGCCCTTGGTGCGCTGGAGGAGCTGCGGGCCGGTCCTGCGGTGCGCTGGTCAAACACACGCAACTTTTAACAAAAGGAAGCTGCGGCCGCGCCTTGCGAGGCGAGATAACGCGCTCCGTGCGACCCGTGAACCGCCCGCCTCAGCCACCCGCGCACCGTCGGCACAAAAGCAAACCCAAACTCGTCCGCAGCCTGCAGCCTAGCTCACGCCTAAACCCCTCGGTAGCTCCCATTCGCGTAAGACCCCCGGCTCAGCGCCCGACAACCAGCAGCGGCAGCTCGGGGCTCCTCGCCCAGGTGAGCGAGGTAAGACGCAGGAGAGTCCAGGGTCCGCCTAGAATCTTCCTGGAGACCAGAACGCACGGGTACTGAAAGGCCGGCAGCCACCTCTCTAGATGCACCCCAGCGTGTTCAATCCCTCCGAGACACAGGCTGCGCCGGGGGGTCGCGGCCCGAAGGTCCCCGTGCTCTCCCACCTGTCTGGACGTGGAGCAGGAGGAGCAGGACGCTGAGAAAATCCCAGGCGCCGCGAGCGCCTCTCATCGCGGTGGTTGCGCTGGGATCGGAGCTCCGTTCCACGTTCCAGCTCTAGCCCAAGTGCACCGAGCGCGGCAAAGCCGAGCCCCCAGAGCCGCGAGCGCGGAGCAGCAGCCCCTCCTCCAGCGCCCTCCCCCTGCGCGCCGGCCACGCCCCTCCTCGGCTCCCCTCCTCGGCCTCCCCTCCCTCCCCGCCTGGGTCTTGCTCCCTCCAGGCGGCGTCTGGCCCCTGCTCTTTTGACGTGCTAATCCCGAAGGGCTGTGCCCTCCCGGACAGGGAGGGCCCGCGCGGGTTCGACCCCCAGGCTTCTGCATCTCTCCACCTATCCTCCCTGGTGAAGTGGTTAGCCCGCCCGAGGTGGCTCCTGTCAAGGGCGGTGCTGCCCGCGCGCTTTGTGAAGCCCGGCACCACGCGCGCATTAGGGCAAGGGCCTGCCACCTGGCAGGTGCTCCCTAGACAATAAAGGTTGGCCGCCCGCCCCTCGAGCCTGCTGGGGAAGGAGGAGGCTGGACCCCGGTTGTTGTTGGTGGTGGTGCGAGGATTGGAATTAGGGAGCTAGGGCTTAGGAAATGGGTTCCAACATTCTTCTCCATTCCAGTTAGTCAAGGGGGTGGGGGGCGTCCCGCGTGGCGCCTGGCACCGCGGTAAAAAAGCTGAGCCGGGGTTTAGGTAATTCTTCATGCTCAGTTTCTCCACCTGCTCCGTAACCTGTAAGAACACAGTTGATTTCTATTGGTCGGTATGGCCTCCGCCCAGCAAGCTCCTGCTGAGACTTCTGGAGACTGGGCGGTGGAGTTGGGAGGGGCGCCTTGTGGAGTTTACAGAGATCTCCGGTTTTTAAGTCACTTTACTTCTGGGCACCTTTCTTTTTCTTTCCTTTATTTTATTTTTTATTTTTATTTTTTCCCATTCTATTCTGTACTGTTTCTCTGCCACTGTATCAGATGACAGTTACAGACCTGGAAATCCTGCGTTCCTTTTGGCTGCTTTAGCTTAGAAACAAAAGTAAAGTGGCTCTCTCAAGCCAGGCTTCAATGCCTAGGAGGTGCTTTACACACTTGCTCATGGTGACACTCCTTAAGTGGAAGGAAACAACAGTATCTGAATAAGGGTTTATAGTTCTCCCTTACCCTCTTATTAATGCTCACAACAATAGTTTGGTGGAATAGGTAGAGCAGATATGTTTATTATTCTAAAGGAAGCCCAAGATCACATAGCTAATAGTGGGAAGATCCCAAGTTTGTGCCCTTATTTTAAGATCTTTTCAGGGCATGATGAGCTTTGCCTCCATAGATTCTGATAAAATAATAAAACATTCTCTCCCAGAGAATTTAAGAAAGGAAAAATTAAAAGGGAGATGCTCATCAGAAAAAGATGGTATAACTTAGTCTCTTAAAAGTATCATCCAAAATTTATAATTTCCCAGCTCTTCCACTCTGTTCAATATTGAGCTGTCCTTTTGGATATTGATAGGACCTAGCTAGATTAAGAAAAAAATGATTTTTAAAGCTAATCACTTAAGATATTTCAGTTCTAAAAGATGATGGGATGATCAGTGTGTGTCATTGCCTCTCCTTAAATGTGTTGATTTTATTTATTCATTCAACAAGCATTTTTAAGTACTGCTCAGCAAGGAGGAGGTAGGCACTGAGGGACTGTTGTTAATAGATGTGGGCCCTGCCTTCACAATCCTTAGTGTGAGATATGGGAACCCATACCCTAATGTACTAGTAAATGGTTCAAGTCATACAGCTGTGGGGGATCCTCAGACCACACCTGTTTCTTAGGATGACAGGGTTAAAGATACCAAAGAAATCATAAGTTTCTGGGATCTTGATTTATTTCTAAATCCATTTTGTCATAAGAAAAAAAATCACTATGAGTTAAAATATCAACATTATACCAGAGAGAGAGAAATTACAATTTTCTTCTTCAATCAACTGATATTGGAGAGGATAACATCTTCAGAAGAGAGGGTAAAAAGAGACCATATTACAATTTAATTCTAGGCAAGAAACTTCTATCAGGAAAAATAAAAAAGCCAAATAGAGAGTTATAGAATGCTGGGCTTTCATTCCTATTTATCATGCGGCAAACATTTATTGAGCACCCAGGAGGGCACCAAGACCTACAAAAATGAATAAGACTTAATTCCCAGCCTAGGGAAACTCACATTCTGATGGGGAAAACAGACACCCAAATAAGAAACTATAATATCTGCTAACAGCATGCATTCAGCCAACTTGACCATACTGGCTGATAGCATATTGAAATCCTTTTGTAGTGTTATTTAAAAAGCCATCTGCAGGCCACTTCTAGGTGATCCCCAACCCTAATCCACTCTTGAGATACCTCAAGTCTGTTTAGATCCAGCAATTACAGGTTTAATGCTGAGCACAGCAGAGAGCCTCCAGTACCTGTGCTTTTAGGGTTGTTAGCTATTTTAATAATGCCCCCTGACTAGTTTGTACTGAAAGAAGTTGTGTTTAAGGTGCTATTAGTGCAGTGCTATGGGAATGAGCCATGTTATAGATTAGCGCTGTCCCGCAGAGCATTTGCAAAGGTGGAAATGTTTTCTATCTAGGTAGGATATATTGATCAGTCCTGCACTGTATTCTGTGATAGTCCTCTTGACTCATACATTGTACCTTATATATTCTGTTGTTTTTATAATTGTTTTAGTGAAGACTCTTGAGTTCAACTTGTAGAAACACAGTTGAAACTGACTTAAGCAAGCAAAAAAACCTAGAATGTATTGGCTCCTATAACTGGAAAGCCCAGGGATGATCATGTTTCAGATATTCCTGGACCTAAGAACTCAAAAGTCATCAGGAATTGAAGAGTAGGCTGTGTGTGTGTGTGTGTGTGTGTGTGTGTGTGTGTGTGTTTCTCTATCCCCATCCCTTACCAAACTTTTCTGTTTTGCTTTTCTGTCCTTATATGCATTCAGGCAGCTCTAGGCTTATGGCTCACTAGTGGGGCAGGAGGGAGTTTTTCTACCCCCAGAAAGATCTTCAATTAAAGTACTGAAACTGAGTCTTACTGGCTTTGCTTAAATCACATGCCCATCCAGAACTATCCACTAAGGGATGAATGTGATTAACTAGGTATGGGCCACGTGCCCACCCCAAGGGAGCCCAGGTTAAAGGTCTACTTTATCCATACCATGTGGCCTAAGTTGGGGAGAAGCAGGTCCCCAAAGAAAAATTGAGGTCCCTTTACCAGAAGAAGCAGCAATAATGCTGCACAAACATAGCAGGAAAGGTTTACTACAGTCTCACACAGTCAAAATCTCTTACTTGAAAAAACATTTATATCTAACTGTAAAAGTAAAGGTGCTAATTGTAGGAATTTGAAAAATATCAAAAATTAACAAAATAAAAATCACCAAAGATATAAATGCCAAAGTGTTCTTTCGAATCTGTTTTCTCCACATACATATAAGAGATTTTTGCTCTATATAATTTAAGACCTTACAATATTTTTAGTTTTCAACCCATATTTCTTTAATAGTGACATGAGCATTGTCCCAAGTCAATAAAAATTCTATGAAGCATGAGGTACAATGGCAGTATAATATTCAATTGTATGGGTGTACCATCATTCTAGATATCTAATCATTTCTCTATTGGTTTCTTGTTTTGTTTTTTTACTATCATAAATGTTTTGGGGATGAGCATCCTGGTGAATAAAACTTGCCTACCTCTATTTACTTTGAATGGATTGCTAGAGGTGAAATTCCTATACAGAACGTGAAATTTCCACATCCTTTGCCTCTTCCTTTGGTGTTTAATAGTCCTTGTTTTGTCTGTAATCATCTGAAAGTCTTTTGTTCATGAAGTTAAAATGAAAATATGATTCTCACTGTAAGACTACATGCTACAGATTACCACCTCATGGATTGTGAGCATGAAAGGTCATAATATATGGTCTCCATTCTGGCTTTCATTTGGTATTTATTGAACACCTTCTATGAGCCAGATGAACTACATTAAGAGCCAGGGATACAAAGATGCTGCCCTTGTAGGATTTATAGAGAAAGAGGAAGGACGAATAAAGGAGCAAAGATTGGATTGCTCTTAGTTCTCTGACAGTTGTGCACAGGGAACTGTTTGAACCTAGAGCAGCAGCCTCATGAGGCTTCCCCAAAGAAGTGGAAACTGGATTCTGAAGGATCAGGTGGAAGAGAAGGGAAAACAGAGCAATGGAAGTACCCATGGAAACCACTAGAGGCAAGAGACAGGCTGAGGAACCTGAGGAAGAGTAGTGTGTGGCCCAAGTCGGAAAGGGGCTTGGGGAAGAAGATTGAGACAACAGAGACAAGAACCTTTCTATGCCAAGGATTGCGAATTTCGTCCTTGGACAATGGAGAATGGCTAACGGACAATCCCAGTAAGCTGGGGTTGGATGGTGAAAGATTTATATTTGGGGAAGATAATGGAGAAGCTCACTGAAGGATAAGTTGAAAGGGGCAAAACTTGAAGCAGGCAGAAAATGGTAAGGAGGCCACAGCAGTGATTGACAGGATCAAGCGGACTGAGTGAAGTCTGAGCAGATAGAATGGTGAGACTGGGAAATGAAAGGATGCTACACAGACTCTGCCGGCCTTGGTCAGCAACCACCATGTTGTGGAGGTTGAGTGGGAAGAGGGGCTCTGGGATGGTGGCCCGGCCTGATGTGCACTACCTGTCCACAACCCCCACAGCCCCAACAAGACACAGAGGTAGGTTGGGAGTGGGGGGCAAGGACTTGGAGTTGAACTGGCTGTGTTGAGATACTCATGGATTGGCATAGGGTTGGGTCAAAGAGAGGTGCCTGCAGCCTCATTACAAGGAAAGTACGTAACAGAAGTCATTCTTGGGGAATACCCACATATGACGGCAGGCAGGATAAATAAGATTTATAGAAAGCCGGTGTTTTGGACCAGGCTCCTGCACTAGTTGAAAAGACTAGATTAAAAATCAAAATGGAGTCATTCATGCAAATGTTCTTTGCCACCAACCAGAAACTAAGGTGCTCATGTGACCTGTCTAGAAAAAGAGAGATGACCGCCAAATTTCCCAT